GGAATTCATAATGTAGGTCTTTGTTTTACGTAGCATTCTATATTACGTATCACCAATGGCCACACTTCATCTTTCTGGCCACACTGGGATTGTTTTCTGGCCACACTGGGGTAGTTTTAGCTATACGAGACTTTTTCTGATTCTACTCGGATTTTTCTGCCCACTCTGGGGATGCTCTGGCCACACTGGGATATGATTACTCTGGCCACACTGGGAATAGTTTGTCTCTAAATTGAGAATCATCATTTCGAGTAGGTTTAGATAGGTAAACTGATTATTGTTTGCGGTTTTAGATAAGTAAACTGATTATTGTTTACGGTGTTTAGAGAATACGCAGGAGGGGAAGTGGTATGGAGTATATGATAACTTTGTGATAGTGGATGGTGGAGGACAGTAGAGGGAGATAGGTTCTGAAGGATGTGTACGGTATTTTCGTAACATGTTTATTGTTGAAAGCAGAAGTTGATCATTTCTTACTGACCTAATCCTGTTATACAACCATTACCGTTTTCAGCAGCACTTAAATTCTCTTGCTGGTTCCCATCTACTCTAACGTCATTGGTGACACCGCTCGGTGGTTGCATTATTTCATCTTGTTTCGAGGTGTCGTTCTCTTCTTCTATATTTTGACTTTCTTGATTTTCTTTCTCTCCTTCTCCTAAATTCATCATTTCATTCTTCTTTCCTTTCCTAGTTCGACTTTTAATTGAATCCTGTCCTGGTGTCGGAGCTCTTGGTGGGAGGCCTTCTGGGCCGGATGGTAAGTTAGAAGAACTAGACATAGCTTTGACTAGATTGATCTACTACTAGAGTGGTTTGTTTTTGTTTAGATAAATCATAATATTTTACCGATTTCTTTCTTGATTTCTAAAATTTTTGAAAGGAAAGAAAAACTTTTAAGAAATGATGAGACTCCTACTACCTTCTTCGTAGTGAGTGTTGAGTCTTGATGTGAGTGAGTAGGAAAGAAAATTAGTGAAAGAGATTAATTCTACTTTCCTAATTTTGTTTCCGTTGGGGAAACTATTTCCCCATCTAGGATCGGTACCGAATTCTTCTGGTACCGAGCCTGTCCGAGCTATGTGCGCCTATTCCCTTTTCCATGGAACTACGCAGGTGCCGTCGTGCCTTTGGGCACCTGCTACATTTATTAGTAGATTATCCCTCTTTAAGCTCTGTAAAGCTCTTGTTGAGCTTTAAGTTCTACATATTGGTGACTCCACTGGGGCTCTTACTTTCAACGGCTACATCTGTCATTTAATACTTAATAATTTCCTTAATTATTATCTATAACATCAACAAATTTATTATTAAAATTAACTACTACATTAATAATAAAAATCAAGAATCAATTTCGAAGAAAAATTATTATCATCAAGAGTCAAGAATTAATTAATTCATTCAACTTAAATAATTATAATATATTAAGTCATCAAGAACCTCAAGCTTTTTTTTATCAAATTTAATTGAATTAACACACAAGAATTTATATTTAATTCAAGAAGTATATTTAATATTAAGATTATTTCGAGTTTTTTTTTCTTTAAATCAAATTATCTCAAGAAACTTATCAGAAGGAAGAATGTCTTCAGTAATTCAAATTCATGATCAAAATGTGGCGGATGATGGAGATGAAGAACTGGAATTACCACCTACTTCTCATTATAAGAGAACACCACGAGTTTCAGGTAGCAGGATTTATGTTCAGGAGAATCCTGTCAATTATAATGTATTACCACCACCACCACCTGCTTCTGGATCAACTCTTCGTGGGAAACAACGTGAAGCAACTGCTTCTGAAGATCCTATTCCACCTACAGCTTTCACGGGATTTAGAGAACAAGAAGCCTTGGTACCCTCTGACCACGAGGAAGAAATGGATTGGCAACAGCAATTCTTTACCCAACAACAATATTATTTGCAAAGGGAGAAGGAAATGGCGGATATGATTAATTCAATGAGAAGAATTAAGGAAGAAAATGAACAGAAGAAAAAGGATAAGGAGGTTATTAAGGTAGTTAAGAAAGAGAAAGGAAAGAAGGTTGTAAAGAAGATTATTAAGGAAGAGGATAGTGATGGTGATTCAAGCGTGTCTAGTAGCTCAAGTGATGAGGATAGTTCAGTTTCAGAGAATAGTAGTGAGGAGGAAAGAAATGAAGAGATTAGAAGTCATGTAAAACCACGTAAAATTGATAATTCTGACACTAGTGTAAGATTTGAAGTTGGTGGTAATGTAAAGAAGTTTATTATTAATTATCATAGTCAGGCTGAAGCAAATGGCGCCTCAGAATTGGATATGGTAAGGCAGATTACTAGTTTTGTGGTTGGAGAAGAGCTTAAGGAAGAAATATGTGATATGGAAGGATGGGGAACTGGAGAATGGAGTTGGAAGAAGGTGAAGGAGCAATTGATTGCAAGATATCAGACTACCACGGAGCAGCCAAGATACTCAATTGATCATTTAAGAACTCTGTCTGAAAGAACTATGAGAGGAGGTGGAGTTACGTGTAAAAGTGAATATCAGACCTTTAGAATTAATTTTGATAAGATTCATCAATATTTAGCTAGACATGATTACGTGGATACAAATGATGAAGAGGTGGCAAGGTATTTTTATGAAGCTTTCTCTGATGAACTTCAAAAGAAATTTAAGAAGAGAATGATTAAAAAGAAGATGATGATGAAGGTGTCAAGTGGTAGGTATAAGCTGCCTAATTTAGAAAAATTAAAGAAAGTAGTGGATCATTATATTGAGGAGGAGGCGCTTTTGGTCTTTGAGGATATTGGAGAAGAAAGATATACAATTAAGAATGAGATTGCTGGAGTTAAAAGTGAGGTTATTCAGAAGGATACAAGCAGTAAAGTGGCTAAGATTGGCGGAATGCAAGCTAAGGCAACTCAGCAAATGGAGGTTTTATGTTCAGACTTAAAGAATTTGCAAATTAATCATGTGCAGAATCCTTTACAAATCCCTGCGCCTAATTCTTATCATTTTCAACTTCCTATTTCTAATGCTTTGCAAAATCAAATTCATCAGCAAGTTGGACCTCAACAAAGACCTGTTAATAATCAATATGCGCCTAATAATAACAGGAATCAAAATTATAATAATAATCAACATTATAATAATCAACAGACAAATTCTTTCCAACCTGGAAGAGCGCCTAATCCTCAGAATTTTAATAGGTTTAACAACAATGTTAATAAGCCTTATAATCCTAATAATCCTAATACCAACAATCAATTACCAGCTGTTAATAATAATAATAATTTTAACAATCAACCTATAACTTTGTTTTGTGCGTATTGTAGCACTGAAGGCCATACAGTTGGTAGATGTAGATGGGTTATTCAAGATAAGCAGGCTGGATTACTTCAGGATAGAATGGATGGATTTTTCTTACCTAGAAGTGACGCAAGATTGACTAAGAAGGGTGAAGATGGAATTAGGCAACAGGTAATTAAGTATTCTGAAGAGCAAGCAAATGCTGTTGCACGTGGTAATATTCAACAACAACAACAAAATTCCGTTCCACCACCAGCTACTAATACAGTTGTGGTACCACCACCAGTTATTCCTACGAGTGTTATAACTAAAAATGATGGAAAGGACAGAGTACATGAATTAAAAGCTAGTTGTGGAATTTTAGAAGAATGGTGCGTGCCTGAGGTTAATAAGAAGCAAGTAGAAGTTAAGGCAGGAGCTGGAACAAAATTATATGGAGTAGAAATGAAAACTAGAAGTGGAAAGGACGTGGAAGAAGGCTCAGGATTTAAATTAAAAAAGAAGAAGAAGGTAACAATTAATGACGTGGTAGAAGAGATTGATGCTATGGATGTTGATGAAGAAGATGTTGAAGATCAAAGGCGTGGAATTCTTGAAGACACTTTGAGAAGAATTAATAAGGATAATGGAAGTGAAAAGAGTGAAGAAGGAAGTCAGCAAACAAAGAAGCCTTCTTATATTATTCCAAATGACGGGGATTTTGTCAGAAGTAGATCAGAAAGAGGTTTACCAGCCTTTGCTGATAAAACAAAAGTAGTATCAGAGGTTGTGGAGAAGATAATGAAAGGTGCTATAGAGCTTCAAATTAAGGAATTATGTGCTATTTCACCCGTGATATCTGATGAAGTTAAGAAATGGGTATCAAAAAGAAGATTAAATCTTAATCAGAATACTATGGCGTCAGTTGTTCAAAGTACTGCTGTTTCTGACTTTGAATATGAATCAGATTCAGATTCTTCTTTGGAAGTTAATGTTCCTCAGGCTACTCTTTATTCTACACCTCTAGGATTCGTGGAAATTACCATTGGAAAGAAGAAGATCAAAGCTCTTATTGATTCTGGATCTCAAATTAATATTATTCCTTTAAAAATTATGCAATTACTTCCTGTTCAGACTTTGGTAAATTTAAAAAGTGGCGTGAAAGGAATAAGTGGGCATAGGACTCCTTTGTGTGGAATTGCTGAGAATGTTAAAGTTAGTATTGGTACAAATATTAGTGGATTGGTTCATTTCTTTGTTGCAGAAGATGAAGACACGCCAATTCTTTTGGGAAGACCTTTTCTCTTTGACTTTGAAGCTCAACTTAATTTTGAGGAAGATGTAGGAGAAAGAATGACTGTGAAAGATAATAGAGGTGTGTGGATGAAAATTAGATTGTGTGAACCTGATAGAGGTACGTGGGAAAGGAAATTAAATGTGTCAATTGAAGAAAGGCAAGGCTTTATGGTTGAAGAATTTAAACAAGAAGAATTATTTGAGAAATTACGTGAGGAATTAAATGAGGATGAAGTATATGGATTCAAGTTTGAAGATGAAGTTAAGTTAGATGAAGAATTGGTAAATGAATTGAATTTAATTATGAATATGGAAGATGAGGATATGTTGAGTAGAGATTATGAAGGAAGAAATTATAGGAGTTTTAGTACTAAATATAAGTCAGTTGATAAGAAGGTTAAACCTGTGAATGCGCCTATGCCACAGTATTTAAATTATCCACTTCAAAGGCCTCCATTATCTAGAGACCCTTATGTTACTCCTTTAATTCAAAACCCTCCTGAATTTATTGAAACTGAAAGAACCACGGTGGAAAGATTGAAGCAGTGTAATTTTGGACCTGAAGGTTGGCTTTCTGAAGAAGAATGGAAGTTGTTTTTGTTTGTTATGGTGTTAAGAGAGGCAGCAATAGCGTATTGTGAGGAGGAAAGAGGTTTATTGAAGCATAGTTATGGTTTACCTTATGCAATTCCAGTTGTGGAACACGTGCCTTGGCAAATAAGACCTATACCTATACCAACTGCAATTAGAAATGATTATATTGAATTGGTAAGACAAAGAATTAGGACAGGTCTTTATGAACAATCTTCCTCAAGTTATTCTAGTCCAGTCTTTTGCGTGCTTAAAGGTGATGGAAAGTTGAGGATAGTTCATGATCTTCAAGTATTAAATAAAGTTACTACTAAAGACTCTGGAGTACCACCTTCACCTGAGGAATTCGTGGAATCTTTCTCTGGAAGAGCTTGTTATGGACTTGGAGATATCATGGGAGGTTATGATGAGAGGGAATTAGCTGAATTTTCAAGGCCTTTAACAACATTTGAGACTCCTTTAGGAAGATTACAATTGACAAGATTACCTCAAGGAGCAACAAACTCTGTAGCAGTATATCAGGCGCAGATGATGTGGATTTTGCAAGAAGAACTTCCTCAACACGTGGGAATTTTTATTGATGATGGTGGTATTAAAGGACCTGAAAGTGATTACAATAATGAAGTATTG